ACTTTTTATTCTATTTTCCTTGAAAACCAAAGCCACAGGGTACATTGTTATTGAAGTATAATAGAAATATTAAAATGTTAGTAGACACATTTATTTGAAAAAATAAATATGAAATTCAAGGGAAATAGGGAGAAAGCAGTTTTTGCAAGGGGAAGGGGACCAGGAGGGATAAGAAGATGATGAAAAGAGAATTAAAATGTATTACATGCATGGGGCAATGTCCCGTGAAGAGTCTAATCATTAGGTATGCAAACATGTGCTAATAAAAATAAAAATTTAAAAAAAAAGTCTGAATAATGCTTCTATGTGTCTATGGTTAATGTTATATGTTAATGGGAAAACTTCAGAGAATTTAATATAAGAGTTGGGGAATCATGACTATAGGGGATTCTAATGTCTCTATGATTCTAACTATATACTTCATATAAACTGCAGCAATTGGAACTGTACTTTTTGGAACTGCAACTTTTGTCTTGTTACTGGTCTACTTGTCTTAACAAAATACCCTTGAAATTTATCCACACTGTCTCATGTGTATTAAGGCTGAAAGACAGATTTTATATATAGGCCATGTGCTGCTTATCATTCATGTATTGGTGGACACTTGGGTTGCCGCTACATCACAGCTGTTGTGCATATAATGCTGCTATAAACATGAAGAAACAAGTATTTTTCAAGTTATTCCTGGTAATACCGTAAAGTGGAACTGCTGTGTCATACAATTCTATTGCTAATTTTAAGTAAGCTACAGTAGTGTTTGCTGTGACTTGGATATTATTTATCCCCAGATGTCCATTATGATTAAAGACTTAGTGCTCCAGTTGGATGTACAGTTTTCCCAGCATCATTTGGATCCCCATCAGACAGTCTTGGCATTCCTAAGAAAATAGCTTAGCCATGTGTGCTATTTCTGAGCTCTGTATTCAGTTCCATAGCTATGACTTTTGTCTTCTTAAATCTAACCTTAAGTCCTGTAGTTAATTTTTCATTTCAATCATTATACTTTTCAGTGCCAAAACTTTGCATTCTCTTGTTAGTTTTTAATGTCTTTATAGTGATGTTCCATTTTGTTTATAATAACTTTCTCCACATTGTTCTTTAATATATTAGACATCCTTTCAAGGCCATTGTTTTAAAGTTTTTATCTAGTAGGTCTGCCACCAAATGTTCCCTAGGGATGGTTTGTGTTGACTTTCCCCCAATGAATGAATTGTATTTTCTTATTTCTCTGTTTTGGTGAAAACGGGACATTTGCATCTAACAATACTGTAATTATTATATGACCTCCCTATGGTTTACTGAAGCCTCCCCATGGCTTCAGTGAACCATGAAGACTTAGGCCATGGTTATTGATTAGTTTTGTTTCACTGTTTTAGGTTGTCTCTGTGTTAAAGATTGTTCTGGGGTATAAACTTACAGTCCTAGATCTCTCCTAAGCCTATAATTTTCCCTGCGTATCTCTGGTCACTTCTGAGTTTCCCCATATGTGCAGAGAAACTGATTTTCTTGTTAATGTCTGGATCCCAAAAGTTAGAAAGTGATAAATTAAGGAGTGGGGTGTTAGGAGGTATAGCTCTTTAACCTTCCTGGAAGTCATGTCGGCTGGAGAAGAGGCTTGCAGCAGTTAGTGGGGGTGCAGCAATAAGAAGTCAGCCCTGCCCCATTGCCTGCACCTCTGTGACAGAGCAGGAGTCACAGCCCAGGTCTCAGCCAGTGGGAGGACAGAGTCCCTTCTGCATGCATTGAGTCTTGTGTGCCTGCGTGTAACCTGCATCCAGGCCACGTGGACAGCTGCCTTTTCCAGGCTGTAGCAGAGGAGACTACAACTGTGCTAAGCGATGTAACTGACCAAATTAACTGCACTTTATTTTAAACCTTCCTTCAGAGGTTGCCTGCCACTAAAGGCTGCAGAGTTTCAAAGTGACTACACCAGATTTTGCCACGCAATTACAGTGGTACCTCCGTGCACAAACTTAATTCTTCCCATGATGCTGGCTACAAACCAAATGGGTCATGAACCATATCTAATTTCCTCATAAGGTAAATGTTGAATTGAACCATTGCATTTGATTTGATTCATAACCATTTTGGTTTGTGACTAGAATCATGGAAAGAATTAAATTCTTGAACCAAGGTACCACTGTTTTATCTGGGTGGAAGATAGGTTCCTAGTGCTCCTACTCTGCCATCTTCCTAAGCTCTTATCTCCAACTTCATGCGTTTTTAACTTGTTATAAGGAGTCGAATCATAGGAATAAATGAAGCACTGAGACATCCAACAGCTTCAGTGAACCATGAAGACTTAGGCCAGGTAGAAAAAGCCACATGAGTGGTCGCATGTATGATTCCAGTTGTGGCAATGATTTAAGGCATAAGACAGCAGACAAGTCAGTCAAATGCAGCTGCTCGGGGAGTTGAGGAGTGGGTTGACTGCCTAATGGGTATCAGGCCTCCCTTGGGGAGTAATAAAACTATTCTGAAAATTGATAAAAGCTGAAAGTTGTAGAGTATTGTGGCTACATTATGTACTACTATACTAAAGATCACTTTCAAATGGTCAGTTTTAGATCATGTGGACCTTACCTCCATTTAAAGAAATAATAAAGCTGTGAAAAAAATAATAAAGATGTCAGAAAGTTCCACAAAGCAGAAAACTCACTAAAAGTAAAACACGGATTATTCAAGAAACTTGCATTGTGTAATTTCTTACAAGTCCTCCCCTGCCACCTCTTTTTTTGTTTTTCTCTTGCAGTACTGGGGATTGAGCCCAGAGCCTTCATACTGAGTTAAATCCTCAACCCAATTTAATTTAATTTAATTTAATAATGCAATTTATTTTAAGGTAGGGTTTTGTACCAGTTGGGCTCAAACTTACAGATGATCCTGACTCAGCCACCCAGAGCACTGGTTTATAAGCATGAGCCACCATACCTGGCCACAAATTCACCTTTATACTCTGACTCTGATTCTAAGTGACAGTAAAGTATTGAACTGGTAACCTGCTTGGGCATATAAGTACTTTTAGCATCAGAGTCACCGTCTTCCTCTAACTCTTGCCAAGCACTCTCAGTTTTAACCCTGTAGCACCAGACCTGGCTCCTCCTGCCCTTTCCTTCCACCTTCACTCGCATGCAGCCATCCTGGCCTCCTACCTGGGCTTCTGCAGTCTCCCTTTCTCCCTTCCTCCCTGGCATCAGCAGGTCTTCTGTGCTCACACCCCATCATGTCCAGGTCCACCTTGCCTGAACGCTAGCAGCCAGGCATCGGCCCAGAGGAGTCCTGCTGCTCAGGCTGTGTGTAGATTCCCTCACCTGCTTCCATCCAGTAATATCCAGAGCTCTCCTCTGAGTCCCCTCAGGGCTGTCTTCTGCTGGGCCCGCTGGGTGGTCTGGTGACAGTGGCCTGTTTCCCCGTGCAGCTTAGAACTCTCTCTGCTACAGCCTTGCCTCTCTTTGGCTTGCTACACTCTTCCCCAGCTTTTGAGGCGATGCCTGGAAGTCCAATGACTCACCTCCCTGAGGCCTTTGTCTTCAGGTCCCCCCCACAGTCCTGCTTCATGATCCGGGCACTCACAGTGTTCCTTGCCCACTCTCTTTACCAGCAGAGGGCTAGAGATTCATCTAGAAGCCCCTGCCCCCGCAACACACAGTATTGCTATGGCTGATTGCACAGTGGAGCTGTGGCTGAAGCTTACTTTGAATGGATAAGCAATGGTGTCCTTCCTATAGATTTTGGGCTGTACTCAACGGTCCCATCACCTGCCCTCGGTGGCTCACTCAGCAACAGTACAAGAGGTGTAGAATTTGTCTATAATAAATGTTTCCAGACTGCACAATACCTGTTCCTCTGCACTAAGATGTAACATCTCATTGACTCTTGTTTGAGGCGTAACCAGATCACAGAGGTATGCAATAGCACCTCATATCTATGTCTTAAAATTTTTGGCATGCAGTGTCTATCATCCTACTAAGCATAATCCCTCACTTGGAATCATTGTGGCCTTTCTCAGTTGTCTCCATTTCCATACATATTTTGTAGTATTTATTTCTGTGTCAGTAATTTTAAGGCTAATTATATACTATTTTATCTCTTAGTTTTATCCTTTAGGTTTTGTGCATTTCCGTAATGCCTGTATCCTCCAGTAGCAGTGCTATACATTTTGGTGAATGGGAAAAAATGGAAAGAATTAAAATCTTTTCTTAGTACACCATAAACAAATTTTTAAGAAGATGGGATTTGAATCGTTCAGAGTTATTTTTCTTAGTTTCAGTGCTGACTGTGTAGCTATTTGATAAGCCAGCATTCTAGTCTAATCTCATCTGTAGATCTTTCATTTATTATCACTTAGCCAGGCGCCATCAGTTCAAATCTGTTCAGGCTGAAAAATAACTAAGCATGACTGCATTTTAAAAAATTATCTTGAGAGAGAAAATAATCCCGGTTTAAGCTGTCATTTAAATAGAATAATTTTGCATCCTTGGCATTTGCTAGAAGCAAGTGACCCAACTGAAATGGTACATTGAAAGATTTGGAAAAAGAGAGAAGCAAGCTAAGAGATAAGTTTAATAAAGATTTTGTTTTCCAGATGCAGCATCCTTTTGAGTCTTATCATTAAACTCCCTCTCTCTCTCTCTCTTTGTTTGGTTGAAAATAAACTGAGTGACCTTGTGATTTTAAAGAAATGTCAAGTTACATAAAAGATCATAATCAATCCTTCTTAATTTAAAAGGACGGGAGGGCAGGGAGAACAGTTCTTTAGAAATTAGACTTTAAAAATCTAAATATGCTTTAAAAATTGCAATACATTTACCAAGGAGACAGAGCGTTAGGGAGAAAAGGTAAAAATCACTGTGGTTCCCATTTGTCTTCTAAGGGACAGGGAGAAGCCTTTGAGCCTCTCAGTGGGGTCCTGCGTTTGTCTGAAAACCAACTCATGTAGTCTGCTTGAGTGCAGAGCTTACTGCTCACCTGTTCCTTTGCTTCTTGTCTTCCCCCTGCAGGTCACCTACCTGGGGAAAGTCTCTACCACAGGCATGCAGTTCTTATCAGGCTGCACGGAGAAGCCAGTGATTGAGCTCTGGAAGAAGCACACACTCACCCGGGAAGACATCTTCCCAGCCAATGCCCTCCTGGAGATCCGACCTTTCCAAGTGTGGCTGCATCACCTTGACCACAAAGGCGAGGCCACAGTGCACATGGATACCTTCCAGGTGGCCCGCATCGCCTACTGCACTGCTGACCACAACGTGAGCCCCAACATCTTCGCCTGGATCTACAGGGAGATCAATGATGACCTGTCCTACCAGATGGACTGCCATGCTGTGGAGTGCGAGAGCAAGCTCGAGGCCAAGAAGCTGGCCCATGCCATGATGGAGGCCTTCAGGAAGACTTTCCACAGTATGAAGAGTGATGGGCGGATCCACAGGGACAGCTCCTCCGAAGAGGTTTCCCAGGAACTGGAGTCTGATGATGGCTGACCGAACTTGAGGTGCTCCAGCGAAGGCAGCATTGGTCAAGGAGCTCAACGGGAGAGATGAAGAAGCAACCATTCCAATTTGAGATGAAAAGACTGCCAAAGCCATTGGCTGACCATGCTTTTTAAACGCAGATGAGCAAATCTAAATCTAAAGAAATGTATCATTAAAGTAATGACCTGATATTGAAATCTGCTGCTGCTGTGACTTCGAGGAGGGTGGGAGCGAGGATGGGGAGGAAGGGTTTAGATATCTTGTTTTTTCCTTGAGTTCCAATATCTCCTGGTTGGGGAGCTCCATGCCAGTTGTCACCACTCTCAGGCAAATATTGTGCAGCTGTGAGTGATGGACCATTCCAATCTGCCTTACGAAATCCAACAGGAATGCTTTGAGGCACTGCAGGCCTCCTCCGGGGTGGGCGGGAAAGGAGCGGTTGCTGATGCTGGTGTAAAGCCACAGGAGGAAGGGAAGCTCAGGATGACTGAGGGCCTCTCCCGTGCCACGTTCAGACTCTCCTCAGTATGCAATCAGCACAGCCTTCCAGCTTTACAACTAACAACCCGATAGTTGGCAGTTAATTCGCAGTTAAAGATAATGCTTTTATGTACACAGATATATCAAGTAGTACCCTCTTATTGTATTCACTTCATCTATTTTCTTAGAGTACTTGCAACTACTAATAATGCCTTCCCTTCTCCCTCTCTGCCTGCCCTCCTTCTCCAGCCAACATCCCTAGAGAGAGGGATTGTCGCAGCCTACCCCGCAGGACACCAAAAGGGAAGAAGACAAGGAAACAGATGAAATAAATAAAAAGGAAACCAACTAGGAGTTTAGAAAAATGGCAGAAACCCCAGAAAAGGGCAATGAGTGAGAAGCACGTGAACCAACTCTTTGGGGGTGTCCTTTCCTCACCCCTGAGTCTTGGTAACTTACTTGGCCAAGGTCCTATTGGACAAGTCCTTCAAGGCAAGCTTCAGATATGATTTGGGACCACCAAAGGAGCCGTGCCTCCACTGTGTAACATGGCACTCGGACAGGGAGTAAGTTAAGTAAACCTGGCCTGTAGGTAACCCATGTCCATCTCAATGTTAAGGGACATCTTACCTTGTCACCTTAAAATGACTGATGTCTGAGAATTCCAGTTGCCCGTTTGTTCATTAATTCTCATGAGAAAGTCTCGCTAAGAAAGCACAGATTTCTCAGTGTCATGACTCTTTAAATACCACAAAGAATCAACATGGAATGAAATTGAAAGCACTGATTAAAATACATGCATTTAAGGCCAAGAACTGATAATGAATTTCCCAGGTAGTATTGCTCCTTGACGGAAGTCTGTTTTTATTCTTGGTAATGTTAGGGGCACCTTAGAAGCCTTATATGAGAGATAATGTAATCCAGGGAGCTATGGTGTCAGCATTTGGTCTGTGTCCCCATGTGTCTGTGAATAGGTCTCTGCGTGTGTACTTGTGTCCCTGTGAGTGGGTCCGGTTTTCAGGCATGAACAATAAGCATGGAGTCATACTGAGGAGAACGCGCCTCTTGAAGAAATGCTTGTCGCTTTTTGACATATGTAAACAATTCTTTAGCATAAATGCATTCATTCTTTAATAAAATGTTTGTGTTAATCTGAGGCATTTCGTACTTTATGTGCACTTCCTTTTTCAAGCAATGGAAACAGGATGAGCAAAACAGATCAAATAGAGCAAACTGAGAAAAACAGTGTTTAAATTATTTTCTGCATAATCCATTCCTTGATTACGTTTAAAATTCTTGTTTTATTTTCTAAGTGTTCAGTTTGCCTTTAATTGCCAGCCTTATCTGAGATGGTAACATGTCAACCGTTCAAGGTGTTACTTAGTGTGTTGGGCTTATTAGAGAGGGGTGTCTTCCAGAACACTCTGCAAATCTCCTGTGTATCTTGGGGAATCTGCTTTGAAATCCTTGAAATGGAGCCATGAGTGATTCCTTCTGAGGAGGCTGGTTCAGGCTGTGATTTCTCAGAACAGCTACATTAATCAAGCAAGGCAGGTGGCCATGGAGTCTTTGTGTTCTCAGAAATGCCCTTGATGGAGTCAGTAGCAAATATAGTGAAAATATGGGTGCCTGCTAAAGAGGTGACCTCAAGTGAAAATTACTGCCTGACTCCTCTGGCTGAAGTGGCGTTTCTCTCATCACACTTTTCCAAATTTTATTTTATTCAATTGTCCTTGAATATACATCCTAAAAGCAGGAAAACAAACAAATAAGAAACAAAACAAAAACCTAAAATCAGCCAGCATATATTTCAAAATAATGCCCTTTTCCACTCTAAGTAAAAGTTAAGTTGAATCCCAAGTGCAGACATGTTTTTTTTTTTTTTTTTTTAATTTTTATTGTCAAAATAGTCTTTACTAGTCTGTTTCAGGATTGTGACATTCTATGTAATTGTCTAGAATAATATTGGCATGAGATTTTGTGTCGGATGCCTGGGAAGCAATGGAAAGATAAACACACAGTCATATCTTTCACTTAGCAGACGGAGTCTTATGGCAGCCAATTATGGTTCCTCTCAGAGGGATGATCCAACTTTCCATTGTTTTTTAACACTTTGCATTCTCTCTTCCTGTTCTACAGCTTTCTTGCTAGTGGTTGCAAAGCACTTTGACATACATTAACTTAGTGCTCCTCAAAGAGCCCTGTAGGTGGGTGGAGAAGAACAAAAGGGCTGAGAGAGACTGTAACAGAGCCAGGCTGTTTGGAGAGGTCAGGTCCCTCTGGTGGTTGGGTCAGGGATGGTGTTCTATTAAGACAAAACCTATTTCCTTCAGATTTTTCGTTTCCTCTAGGAACCATCTAACTTATTGTAAATTATCATATTAAACTATTATAAATAAACACTTTCTGCTGCTTATTTTTGAAGCATTTTTTAAGAGTGGATGAGGTTTTGTTTTGTTTTATTTTTAAAGCCAAAGCCTAAGAAGTTTTATTTGAGCACAAATAATGTAATACGATGTCTTTTTTGAGTGTTTTCCTGGCCGTGGGCACTGGACAAGATTAAGATGCCTTTTTTGTTTTGTTTTTCTCTAACCATGTCAATGCTATAAATATTACAGGTCATTAGCGTCTCATAATTTCCCTTTGTGTTATCCATTGCAGTTTTCAACCACATATTTATGTAATTATGCAAATTCCTGTTTAAATCTCTTGGGTGGTGTTATTAAGGTGGACAGTTTGTCTTTTTTTAATTGTTGTTCATGTTTTATCTCTAGTTTTAATGCCAGGACCAGACACCGGGGAGGGACTCTAAGTTAGCTGGCTGGCAGGATGGACAGAGGGACACAAAGGCAGAGGGAGGTGTCACTGTGTGTCTTTGGTTTACAAATTCTAAGACCTTGGAGCACCGGGAGGTATCTTGTCGATTCCTTGCACCTTTTCTTCAAAGGTGAGCAACTAGCTTTTTACTGGAGAAAAAAAAATCTGTCTTGGCTAATACAAAGAATTGTAGCCACGGATAGATAAGAAAGCAATGTTCCATGTAAGCCACACAGTGGAGAGAGAGCACACCCTGCCCCACAGATGCAGAAGGCTTCAAGGCACCTGCATTTAGCAGATGGCAGTGTACCCGGCATACAGTTTTTACTGTTTATTTCAAGAAGAGAGAGAAAGTTGAGGGAGGGGATTCTTACGTTTTGGACTATCTGAAGCTTATGAATTTAGGTCGATTTTCTTCAAATTTACATCTTAGAAAATTTTCTTCAAATTTACATCTTACATCTTTTGTTCCACCTTCCTTCTTTTCTCACTTCTTGCCCCCTTCTACTCTTTCTTCCTGTCTTTATGGTTTACAGCTAACATGACCATTCGAGTCTTTGTTGGGTTTTAAGAAGGAAGAGCAGATGTGCTGTGAATCTGAGATTACGCTTGGTGCATGATCCAGTGATGCTAAATTTGACAAGATTGGGAATCAGTGTAGGTTATTTTAAATTTTTCTTATTTAATTTCTTAGGCAGATGAGACATGGTGAAGACTTAACTCTTTACAGATTACTATTTCTTAAGTATTCAAAAACCATACTCTTTCTGTCCCCTAGATTTACCCTAAGTTAATTTAGAAGGAAGTTGGGGAAGTGAAGATTCCCATAATCAGGAGAGGTAACTCTTAAATTCTGACTGACCTTTAAGAAATTTTCCCATGAGATGTCAAGATTGACTTCTTACGATTATTTATTTTATTATTTTATACATTATTTGACTTGAAAACTTCTACATTTCCTTCAGAAGAGGTTCACCAGAAGATTATATATGATGCAGAAACCTAAATTTAGGGAAAAAAAATAAGGGAAAAGGTAAAAAGAGCAAGAAAAATCTAAGCCTCCATATTTTGAACATTTGAAAATAAATCATATTTGTTGCAAGTGAATTAAGACTAGATTTTTGTACACGAGCAAAGCTGACATTCATAAAGAGATCAGAGAAAAGTGTTGCTCGTGGATTTTACTTATGTGTTCCCTAATCAGGGATTCAACAGTAATCTGAACAGATTTTACTTTAGAAATTTACTTTATGGTTTCTACTTAAAAGCATTCTCATTTTTCTACTAAATTTTCAATAGCTCAGTTTAGAGCATACTATAAGAAGTCACTAAGGTGATCTGAAAATAGACTTGCTGAAACACACATATATTCAACAATTTTACAATAATAATAAATAAACCAATAATTAGCAACACTTTCATATAGTTTCTTTTGCAACTATTTTCTTAATAAAAGTGTTTTCATCCCTTTACGCATGTATATTACAGTAAGATTGGACCATGTGAAAACTTTGTATTAAATAGTACATGAAACCTTGACCTCACTCAAATCATTGGATGGTTTTAGTTGGCATTCCAGAAATTCATTGTTTTTTTTTTTTTTTTTTTTTACCTTGAGTGAAAAGTTCAAGAGAAAAATTTAAGAAAATATCCACCTAAAAGGAAAACTTAATAATTGGTTGCATTCCACAGCTCTTGTCTTCTAAAATTTAGGTGACAAAATTACATATACTATACAACATAGTATTTAGAATATGTATCTGTGTGTGGAATGACTAATTTGGGCTAATAAGCATGCATTATTTGACATAACTATTGTTGTGAGAATGGTTTAAATCTACTCTCTTTCAATTTTTAGGAAACCAAAAGCACAGAGGATGTTGTCTTGTGCCTTCTAGAATGGCTAGTATTAAAAGATGAAAGGCAGCAAGTATTGGCAAGAAGGTAGAGAGAGGGAAGGAGACCCTTGCACACTGTTTGGAGTAATGGGTATTGGTGTAACCATTCTGGAAAACAGTGGAGAGGTTCCTCCAAAAATTAAAAATAGAGCTTCTGTGTGGTCCAGCAGTCCCATGACTGGGTATATATCCAGAGGACGTGAAATCAGTGTGTCAGTGAGACATTTACACACCTCTGTTCACCGTAGCCTTATAACAGCTGAGCTATGTAATCAGCATGCATGCCCATCAGCAACTATAAATGGATACACAGCATGTGGTATGTGGTAGAAGGCTCTTCAGCTTTAACAAAGCAATCTTGCCATTTGCAACAACGTGGATGAAGCTGGAGGTCAATACGTTAAATAAAATGAGTCAGACACTCATGAAAGAATGGCTGCCATCAAGAAATCAACTGATAACAAATGTTGGTGGGGATGTGGGGAAAAAGGAACACTGTTCCAGTGTTGGTAGGAGTGTAGAGGTGCAGCCACGGTGGAAATCAGTGTGAAGATCCTCAAAAAACTAGGATTGGAATTTCTATTTAATCCAGATATTTCCCTCCTGGGTATTTTCCCAGAAAAATTGAAAAGGTCATGTCACAGCCACATATGTGCACCTGTGTTTATATTAGTGCAATTAGTAGTAGCTAAAACTTGGAAACAACCAGAATGCCCAACCACAGAATAGATGAAAAAGAGATGGAATATTACTCAGCTATACAGTGGAATATTACTCAGTTATAAAAAGGTGATCTTGTATAGGTAAATGGAGGTAACTTGAGACTATCCTCATATGTGAGATAAATCAGACTCATATTTGTAAATATTGTATTGTTTTTCTAGTATAAAAATAAAAACTGAGTAAGATCCAAAATGTATAATAGGTACTGTAATAACTACAGGGGAAGAAAGTGCTGTAAAGGATATAACTGTATGTAGGTTTAAGTGTGCAAGATAGATAACCATACTACTAGTATTTGTTAGTTCATCAAAGAGAGTATTTTGTACTGTCATTGTTTGATTGTCTGTCCATTTTTTATGCTTAGATTTTGTAACTTGAACAACTACTTCTAAGATAACAACATGTAATTTATCAACTAAAAAAAGACACTCATATGGAAACTTAACAGTGTTCACATGAGAAAAATGAATGGATGGAGGTTACTGGGGACAAAGAGGTTGAGAGTTGGAGGGATATAATTTCAAAGTATATTGGAAAGAAAAATTCAACAGATCTAGTGTCAATTGTGTACTGTAGTTAATAATGATTATGTCCACGTTCACTTTTCAATGCACATTTAGCGTGAGTAAAAGCTAAGGCTCATTGAAGGTCTGAACATGATTTTGATTTCAGTTTTGCACAAAACACAAAATCTGACAAATTTCATTATACTTCTAAT